AAGGTGAACTTTGTGTTACTCAGTAGTGATTCCTATCCACCAGGATCCTTTATCCTTGTCTCTAGAGTGGAAATATTATTTGCATATTATACAAATCCTGCCCATAGATTTCTATGTAACAAGGATTTGATCCTGTTCCCATGGCGGTCAATGGCAAAATCCCCATTAATTTCAATGGCACAAGATCAGGCTCTGAATGCAGAAACCATCCCATTAGAAAAGACACTAGTCCATCTCCATAAACACTTTGACTTAAAATACAGGCATCGGAACAGGTTGTACGGACCAGAGGGTCTCTGTACATTCATTGGATAGATCATGTGAAAATTCAGTGGACTCCACCTTACTGATCACTTTTTCTTACCAAAACATTTCAATTGATTTGCATGTGTGATTTTTCGAAGTACCTGTCTCCCATGAAAGTATCTGGAATGCTGTGCAAAATAATAATAAACACAGAGCTCAGTCCAGAACAAATAGGCCAACAGAAGAGCCCAAAAGTAAGATCTGAAAAGGGCGGCATGAATTCCATAGGTGTTACAACTGGATGAGGGCAAAAACCGTCCTTGTTTGCTCTCTTCAGTTCTTGTGTGGTCCCTTGTCACAGGCCACATTTTAAAAGGGGTGACCTTCCACACTGTGCACTTGTAATTTTTTTGCCCATAAACCTGCTGCAGACCTTGAGCCTGTCTCTATGTGACTACAGGAACAAATCAGGCAGTCAACAGTACCGGTAGGTAGGATGATTTGCGCATGTAATTTATTTATGCAGTGTCAAAGCTACAGGAGCAAATTTTGAAGAACCAAACAATGAGCCCCTGGAGAGGGAGGACAGGCCTCAGGCCATCTTAAAACATAGGCCAAAAAAATGAGTGTTCAAAGTCTGACTTCTTTCTCCTTTTAAGAAGTGGGTGAGCTGCCTTTTAAATGCACTCCTTATTTAAAGCCATTTGCCTATGTCGCTTTCCGGATTGTGCTTTTTAGACTGTCCATGGCTTTTATAAATGTTTGGGATTGTTGCTGAAAGACCTGGGATCCTATTCTCTGAGACTGCTCTTTATGGTCTATTTCTGGAGCCATGATGCTTTCTGCTCTAAGTAATTTTGCATCTGCTTTGTGACAGAGCCTTTGTTACAGAATGTGCCCCGTAAATTTCAGCGTTGGTGTCCTTCCGCCTTCAGTAAAACAAATAGGCCATCCAAAGAAGAACAAACAAAACAGGTGACTAATGTTTTTATTATTTTTTTAACATGATTAAGAAGCAGACAAATCCCCAAACTGAAATCAATTTGTACATTAATCTGGGAGGTTTGGCAGGATTAACTTTCACATTTGATTACAAAAATGTAAACTTGTTTTAGATACTTAAAATTCATTCATTAATGTTTGTCAGGCACTCGGATACCAGAGCAATGAGGTTCCACAGAAATGCCTAAGAATAAATCAAATCATTAGAGTGGCTGCAGCCAGTTGGTTGGTGGCCATTTTAAAATTGTCCTAAATCCCACCTGCTGCCTCCAGCCCTTCCTTTAGTTCTCTCTGGCTAACATGTCGGAACCCAGAGGTGCCTTCCCTCCCACTCCTCCCCACTGCAGCTTCTTCCTGCTCTCTCCCAATACTCTGAGACCACTTCCCTCCCAATCCCCGTCACAGCCCCTTGGCCTCTCTCATCACGAACTAAGTCAGGGCACACTTTGTAAAAACATGATTTGGTTTCATTATACCAGTTGACCTAGCCCTGTTTATACTAACTTAGCCTGCACTGGTTTAAAATGGTGTTTGAACTGGGTACAGCAAAGATGATTTGGGCCACAGTGTGAAAAGAACTTTATGTGCAGCTCAGGACTCCACTGTGCTAGGTGCTGTACAAATACAGAACAAAAAGATCATGTCTGCCCCCAAAAGTTTACAAATTAAGTAAAAATATAATTCAGAACTCTTGTGTCTTCTGAAGTATGGAGAGTCGCTGTTGTCCATAAAAGCCAAAAAAGTGTCCTACTTAATTCAATGGCGTCTTATAATTTGCACTAATCCTCATTCACACCCATTAAAACTCCTACATCATCCCTCCCTACATATAAATGGATATAGATATGACATAAAAATATAGCAATCCACCTCTGGTACACTTTTGTATAATAGACTTACATGGACAATACCACTGAACGCTCTACTGCATTGTATATTATTTTTGTGTGATATTTTCCATATAAAAGTGTCCTGGCCTGTTAGTAAGAATTCTTAAACAGAACATAGGGATTTTCATACAGAAGGCTACTTAGATACAGAATTTCCTTCATAAGCATAGAAATAACTTTGCAGAGAGGAATAAAACTGCATGCAGACGTTTCTGCAAGCTAGGCTCTGATCGTTGGTCTCTTTTGGCTCTTACATATTTTGCCCCATTATCAAATATTTGCTACGAACCATATAAACAGCCAACTGTAAATTGCGTCTAGAGGAAGGATGCCCATCTGATCACAATGATAGATTTAAAAAAGATGCAGATGCAGGAAATTTTTCATGAAACGACGCATACAAGAAATACGAAAGGCTTCTTATCACTAGATAACAGCTAAAATTACTTCTGAAGTTTTTTTTATTAAAGGTTCAACTTTTTAAGGAGTTACCACTGAATATCCAGCCAATTATGTTTCTAGATAAACATTAGCCAATGAACTAATGAGGGGGTGGAATAATTGCTCAATGAGATTTGCATTGTTAGACTCTTCGCAACCTTTTAGGGACATCGTTGTTATTATTACTATGACAACACTGACCACAGGTTTGATTTTAACCCCCACAAATGATTAGAAGAAATTAAACAGTTTAAAATGAAGTCATCACTTTTCTGCTTGTGTGATGTCACTCTCCCAACCAGGGATGGTAACCCACAATCCACCCTGCACAACTCCATATCTGCATCACTCTGCTGATTATACATCCATCCATCTGTGTGTGCTGCAAGGTGGCACTTGATTCGTCCCTTAGCACTAGACATTTGGAAATGGTTGCACCCCGGCTCATGGTTTTTCATCTCCAGAAAGAGCCCCCGTTTAAGTGCTTCCAAATCTTTCAAGGTTTTGTGGGGTTTTTTTTTGGTCCTGAAGACCACCCAGTGGGTCTATAGGACACGCACTTGAAAGGCCACTTCTGTTTTGGTGGCAACTCCTATGCAATTGCAAAGTGCCCATTAAAGCACAGGTTGTTTCCTAGAAGCATGCCCAAGCCAGTAGCATGCAAAGCCCTTCAGGGGTTCTAGAAAACATTCCCTTTTGAAATGCTGCAGGAAACGCCGAGATGAAAGGATAAGTCTCCTGGCTGTGCAGTTACAGTCTATTGTCTTCCATGAAGGATAGTTATCACTCCTCAGTTGTGTTATTGCAGTTAATCCACTTAAAGGCTATTGGATTTGCAGATGAGCTGAATTCTTTGCTCCTGCTATTAAGATGCTTTGTGGAGACGAGAAAGGGCTGTTATTTCAATCACAATGAGTTCAGGGAGATGTCAGGGTGCAGCCGACACCTTGTGCCGGTTACAGCGGGGAAAGGGGGGTATTTTGTTTGCCCCCCTTTCCCCCCAGGAGGAGGCTTGAAACGCCTTTGACTTGAGCACTCCGAGAAAGCGCCCAAATCCCAGGCCAATTATTAATTGTTAACGAGTTCGCTCAATCCGGAGTGTAATTTGAACACTTGCACAAGGCGATCGGTTGTGTAAACTGTGGCCAAGGAACCCTGCCCTGCAGCTCCGTGGTATAAAACGCGGAAAGGAGGGGCTGAATCAATAGGGTACAGGTTTAATATGTAACCGAGTCAGCCCTTGAATAAGGGGCAGGGCACAAAACTGCTGCTGCGCGTTGACTTTGAACCTTTCCACTGGAGAGAGCTGCTCAAAGTCAAGCCACCCTGCGCGCTCCGCCAGGGCCTGACCCCCGACCAGACAGACACACACCCACGGCGCAACAAGCGGCGGCTCCAGCCCGTGGCAGTCTCCCGGCTACTGCACGGGGGCCCCAGTTCCCTATCCACCGCCTGCCTTTTGCAGGGGGGATTTGGGAGTGAGGCGGGGCAGGGGGTTGGTGTGTGTGTGAGGGGGGGAGAACGTGTGCCCACCCCAGTGATCGTCCTCACCCTCCCCACGCGATCACGAGCGCCTGGACTGCAGCAGACCTGGAAGAGCGCGCGGCTCCTGGGGAGGGAACCTTGCACTTCATACGTGTGCAAAGAAAAGGGGGGTGGGAGGGGAAAGGTGCCGCAGGCGTAGGGTGGAGACAACGGGGAAGTTCTGGCTCTAGTGGGGGGGGGGGCGACCCCAACCACTGCTCCCCTCCCTGAGGCAGAGACAGTCACCCCCAGAGCTTTTGCAAGCGCTTCCCTCTGAGCTTGGCATCCTCAGAGCAGCAGGACAATATTCTTTCCACACCCAAAATATTTGCAAGGTGGGGAAGTGGACCGTGTCAGTACCCATTAATAATCTCCTCCTTGCCCACTTGTATGGGAGACACTCGGCTCGCTCTGCTGTCTCCTTGGCGTGGCGATTGCGCCGTCGGGGACCCGACCCTCCCCAGACAGCCCTGGGGTTTTTGGAGGTGGGGAGGGAGTGTATGGGGGGGGGGGAGGTTGCTGAATAATGGCGATTTTCCTTTGCCTTATAAGCGAGACAAGGTGGATGCTTTTAAGGTTGCAGCCTAGATCTGCGCAGAAGCTTTCTCAGCCTTTCCCTGTGCATTGGAGCTGCTGGCTCATCCCTCCCTCCCAGTGCCGCAGAGGTGACAGGGTTTGGGCTGGCAGCGGGAGGGGGCACATAGCCCCCTCCCCCGGTTTTGCAGGGTCTCTTTCCCCGGTGCGGGGCTCAGCTGCCAGGTGGCTTTGCAGCGTGCGTGGTTGGAGACTGCAGCAGGAAGCCCCCAGCCCCTCCCACTACTTGTTGTTTGCTGCCTGGAGTACTCGGGGGGAGGGAGGCGCATGGGGGTGGGAGGGTGCCTGTGGTATATTCTCCTCCTCGGGATTATTTCACACTCCAGACAGCTCAAGAACCCACCCTGGGAGTTCCGATTCCTCGCTCCGATCGGCCGAGCCGGTGCCGGGCCCCCGGGGATTTAAACCTGGCTTTTCTCCCGTGCAAAGTGGGGAAGAAACTGCACCAGGCAGCCTGTGATCTTGCAATATTGCTCCGGTTTATCTTTTTTTAACCTCACCCCAGCCGGGGTGGGGAGGGGAAAGCGGGGGGAGGCATTTTTCAGCAAGAGAAACAGTTCGATCCCTATAAATAAAGATCCATTGACAAGGAGAAAAAGAAAGGGGGGGCCAGTGGAGCGCTGGATGGGGGGGGGCGATCTTGCAATAAATAAATAATTAAAGGAACCTGCTGCTGCTGCTGCTGCTGGGGTTCGCCTCCTGCCGGGGAAGGGAGGCGGGTTTGAAGCGCTCCCGCACGTCTGGAGGGGGGCGAGCTTGTCTCAGACAGGTGATGGGCGTTTCGGCTGCGCTCCGGATTGACTCCTTGGGTTTCGCTTTGGTCTGATCTAAGCAAATATGCAGAAGTACCGGCTGGTCTAGTCCTAAAGCCAAGAGGAGCGCGCGAGAGAGCAGCAGAAGCGGAGCTCCTCTAGCAAAGGGAACATACAAACCCCCCCCCACCACACCTCAACGTGGACGAAGAGCCGCACGCCTCACCCGTGTCTTTCCCCGAGGGATGATACTGAATTCTCCAGCCACAGGAGCCGGGCTGGAGCTCCGACACAGCACCCTTGCCTTTGATTCGTGCCCCAAGTGTATTAGAACGCGATGAGGACCTGGGCTTGCATTTTGCTGATAGGTTTTTGCTACCTTCCCTTCGCGTTTCCCGAGGTAGGTGAGACTGGCTTCTTGCATTGTTAATGCCTAGTGCTCAACCGCGGCGGGGGGTTGGAAAGAGTGTTTAGAAGGTCGTTTGGGAGGGGGGGGGGAAGCTCCTCTTTTAACCTGGGAGATCGTTTGTTAGTGTCCTCCAGGGCATCTCTCAGTCTTGCTGCCGGTGGAAGCGATTCACCACTGTTGCTAGAATTTTGCAAAGGCAAAAACAAGTTGCCATGTAGCGTGCAAATGGGTGAACAGAATGACCGTGCATTTTGCTCCAGGGCTGTTTGTTGGCTGCATGCTTTTGGGGAAAAAATAAAGAAATACCCTCCCCTGTTACAGTTTTCTACACCATCGGAACGCCAACAGCCTTGGGATTATTTGCAAAGAAATCCGTGCTCGGACCTGTTGTTGCATGGCAAGGAGAAGGGATTATAGCGCAGTTTCCTGCTAACAAGAAACTAGAATGAAACCGCTAATAAAATGACCGAGGAGCAGTTACTATATTGGGTTCATATACACACACGATCTGTGTTTAAGACCGAAATCATTTAAAACCTCCTCTCCCCTCTTCAGAGCTGAAGTTGTTCTTATGCGGCCAAAAATGTAAAAATAAATTTTCCTGTACCTATTTATTTGGAGTCCAACCAGGGAAAAGTGGGTTCTAGTCTGACCTAAACCCATTTGTATATTCCTACCGTGTGGTCAGTAGATTCCTATGGAGCGAGATCTAAGAGAAACATGATTTTCTATCTCTCTGGGGATTATTACAGGTGGCCATTTGTAGGGAAAGATTTGAGGGAATTTGTAGGACAATTGAAACCCCACTTTGCCTCTCGCTAGCGGCACAAGGTACATGCTCACCCCCAAAGCATCGTGCCTGGGGGGTTATTATTAATTATTATAAGTTTCATTTTCGTTTATACCTACAGCGTGGGTACTTGTTGGCTCGCCTTCGGTCTAGGATACATGATTTCTCTCTCCTTCCCGACAGACCTTAGGGAAAGGTGCTGACGCCCTGGGTTGGGGCGAGCTTATAAACAGCTTGAAAACTTTGTTTTATCCCCTTCCTGTAAGTTTCTGGGAGATTTAAGGATCTCTCCACCTGGCAGAAACTTTAAACCAGATCAAAGATGAAAGTGTTAAACAATTGCTCAGGGGTTTGGGTTTCAGAGTCGTGGCGCATTTCAACTTGATCTCTTCTGCTGGTGATAGCTCTATGAAATCATAAACACCTCTAGTCACCCTCTCTCTCCCCCGGCCTATGCACAACAGCGGGGCTATCAAGGGGCGGCGAACGCAAACCAAACACTGGGGAGGGGAGATTTTAAATGTCTAATCGAAACACGTCCAGCAAAACCCTCCAACGCAAGGCGATGCCTAAAATGAGTTACTTGAAAATGTTAAGCAAGGAGCCTGTTTAATAGAATTTCACGCGCAAAGCCCCATTCCACTTGCGTAGTGGGGAGCAGGGTAGAATGAGCTCAGAGCTTTCAGGGGTGTCTATTGGCACACAGCCTGCAGTGCTGATGTACTCGGAGGTGATCCTGGAGCAGGCGGGGGAAGCAATGATTCGGTGTTTTGTCTGTTTGAAGGAAGCTGAAATCCCCCAGGAGCTAATCGAGAGACTGGCTCACAGCGAAATCCACAGCATCCGCGATTTGCAGCGCCTCCTGGAGATTGATTCCGTAGGTAAATTATTCTCTTTCCTTCCTTCCCTTTTTATTCCACTGTTCAGAGGGGTGGCACCTGGGCCCACAGATCAGCACGTGTCTGTTTGTGGGGATGGCTTTAAAGAGACGGTTTCTGAATATTCCATTCACTCGTTTCCAGCGCTGGGTGGGCCGACAGACCTAGCCCAAAGATCAGAATCCAAAGCAGGGAAACCAGAGGATGATGAGGACTCAGGCGTTTCTCCCCAATCCCAGCAGGGTTCTTAGAAAAGTCCAAGAACAGTTACCCCAGGCAAGGATCTGTTTCCAAAACAGGCTTATTTTGCATTTAAAAATGAAACCATCAAAAAGTGAGCAGACACCAAATAAACTTGGTGCACATATTTCTCGGTATATAATATTGATTTGGTGACCTTTGTACTGTCAGACCTCTTTATCAGCAAAAAAGAATTTCCATAATATTTATTGTTGTTATTCCACTGCACCGTTATCTTTAAACTACTGTGTGAGAGTCATTTAAAATATTTGCAACAATATTTATGAATGAAGTAATGTCTCTCCAAGATCTGGGGCTTATTGAAAGGAAAATAAACTGTCCATACTGATTTTAAAAAGGAACCTTCCTATGGAGCTTACAGACACTCATTCAGAAGAGAATAGCAGGAGGTTATTTTCTGCACCATTAGGCTTTTGAGACTGTACAATTCACTAATGTTCTACTCTGGAACGAATCATTGCAGTATTGAATCAAATCTCAGAATCATTGCATTATTGAGTCAGAATCGTTACATTTCAGTTGATACACTTAGCTGTTGGTGGTTTCTTCAGTTAGTTTGTGAAAGAATAAAACAAACAGATGCATCCTCCACAAACCAAGGGTAAACCTCTACCTTTCTAAAAGCACAAACAAAAAGTCAAAGAGCTGTTGCTTGCATTGGTATCGGAAGATCTCCATTTAAACCATATGGGATGCATTCTGGTAAAATATAGACTAGGCTCAATCCCCTTCATTCAATGTGGCAACATCTTTTTAAATGTTAACGTAATCACCTTTTTTTTTTAAAGTAAAGTAATAGTGAACAGAAATGTACCAGAAACATAGTTTACAGACACGGCTTTCCTTTTTCATGATGCTGAGTGGTAACTGGTGTCCCATTAAACTGAAGTTTCAAATACTCATCTCATTCACACTGCTTTGCCATAATGGCTTATTACTAATACCTTTAAAAACATTCTTTCTTCAAAAACCCTCTTATCCAGCTTGATTTTGGATTGGGATGAAATTTTTAGAGACAGAAGTTCTGCTCTGCTAGTATTTATGTCATTGGGATTAAAGAAGCTTTCACAATAGGGACAAAATAAGGAATCCATATGTCCCCACCTAAAATTGTGCGTTATGCCATTCAAGTGCATAAGGACCTAATCCTTATCCCATTGGAGTCAGTGAATATTTTAGCTCCTGTGGGAGATGCCTGAGCACTTGGGAATTTGAACAGATTTTTTTTATTTCCTGTGCCTTTGAGTCAATATTTGGTAGATACAAGACTATATTATTTTAAAATATGTCAGTGAATGGAGCAGATCAGAGGAACTTATTCCAGGCTATAATTACTTACCTAATTGCAAATATCAAGCAGAAACAGTACTGAAAAATTATGAAGTTAACCATAAGTGTGTTATTTCATTTTGCTGTTTTACTGCAAAGCATCCATCAGAAAGCACCAGAGAAACAGGAAATATAAATATTTTAATATTTGAACATGAAACATTAATATTTAGGGCATGAATTTATAAAAATCCCTATTAAGGATCCAGTCCTGCACCTTTATTTTTACTTACGTGAGTAGTCTTTATCCAAGCATTAAACTCTATTCTGACTAATGGTATCAGGACTGGGCCTTGATGGAGGTAGATAGTCATTTACAATCTTAGTTTATGCTTAAACACATCACTGGGCCCAATACTGAAGTCTTTACTTGATTGAGTAATCCTTAGACCCCAAGTATTATTATAGCTATACAAAATCAATTAAAATTGAATTCAGTGGGCATAGTTTGGAGATAAAGGATTGCAGGATTGGGCGTGTTTATTGTATGTGAGGTTAGCATGGGCTAGAAAGTCAGATGTCTGATGGTTAGCACTGCCAAGATAATATTTCACTCAATACTCTTTCTTTAGGTTTAATGTATTTGTTACTTAGAATAATAACTGCATTTTAAAAGGGTTGGTTCAGTTAAGATCGATGCAGCAGTTATGTTGGTGTTTTTGCAGCATTTACTCTGTTAAATTATGGATTGCACAAAAAAACCCAAAACAAAACTCCACATAACCCATTCAATCATTACTTTCTCCCTCATTTTAGTGCATAACCTTGCAAATCCTGCCTCAAGTGACTAGCTCTATTAAACTCAATAGATCTTCTCAAGTGAGTAAGAATTGCTCTCTTGGGCAAAGGTTTGCAGAATCAGGCTTTCATGCAGTAAATGTCTGACTTCCCTAAGAAACCTATAGCTCAGTAAGGGGCAGAGTCAGTGGAAATTTGATGAGAGAGAGATCACTTTCTCTCTCACACTGTAAAACAAACACAGTATATGTTTTTCACAAGTAAGTCTTGTAAGTCAGAGTGGGCAGCTCTTCCTTGCATTCTGACAGATTTTGACTTGATATTGCACTGCAAGGATGACTGATAACCCCTTCATAAAATTAGAAACCACACCCCCACACCATCTGGCATATTACTTAAAGAAAAACATTATCCAACATAGTGCTTATCAGTTTTCAATAAAGAAAATCTGGGCCAAATTCTTCCTTGTTTGCCAGAAGCTGGGAATGGGCGATGGAGTGGATTACTTGATGATTACCTGTTCTGTTCATTCCCTTTGGCACACCTGGCATTGGTCACTGTTGGAAGACAGGATACTGGGCTAGATGGACCTTTGGTCTGACCCAGTATGGCCATTCTTATGTTGTTATACTCTTATGGCCTGATCCTGCACTCCCTAGTCTAAGAAAACTACCATTGGAGGCAATAGGAGTTTTGTCTCAGTAAGGATCCCAGAAACAGGTCCCTATGAAAGTTACACGGATGTAAATCCATTGAGTTCCACTGAGAACAGAATCAAACCCTGGCTACTTAAAATATAAAGCATGCATGATCCCAGCAAGTACATTTCTTTAGCATTCAAGGTCCACAACTTACTACTAATAGCTGAGAGAATAAATCACCAATACAGAGGCATTTCATTTACTCTGCCTGCAAAATCTCTTTGGCTAGCAGTTCTTACCATTCACACACTACCCTCTCCCTTCTTTCCTGTGGGTGGTAGAGTTCATTTCATCATCTATTAGATTTGCCTCCTGCCTCATCACTGCTTGGACTGAGATGAGAATCTCCCACAGAGGGAACAATAGTTTCCCTGTACTAGTGGATGATGGAGCATCAACCAGGAAATTCTAGTGCTACTACAATGCTAAATTCTAATGGTGTATTATAAAATAACACACATACAGAAAAATTGCTATTATATTAGTTCATTAAATCACAAAGAGTCTAATTCATTAAAATCTCCTGTTGACTTTAGTGGTCTTTGGACCAAACCCCAGTTTAAAAATGGACAAGAATGCAGATATTATCTTCTATTAGGCCAGCTGGAAACAGTGAAGGAGGCAAGCTTTTGAGATATGTGTCTGTATTTTGCTCTCTTCTCCCCCCACCCCCCGCCCTCTGCCCCCAGACATGATGTAGGGAATGTGGCTCTGGAAAGCTTAAATACTATAATGGTATTCTTTTTAGATACTAAATTACAACTCCGTACAGAAAAATGCATCCTACGTGTTACTATTTTAATTTCTTTTAGTAGATCAAAGTTTAAAACTTAGACAATCTCTGAGTTGGGATGTCACAAGGGCATATTTTACACCGGATAGAAATATGATCAAACTGTCTGATTTTGCCTTGGGCTTTTGGGAGTAGGACTGATTTGTAAGAGAGATTGTATTTGTTATTGTACATTGTATTGAATTCCTGAAAGAGAGACAATGAGAATTTCATAAGCTGATGATGATACCAGGAATCTTGGGCTTCCATTTTTTGTACACACATTGAGATGATACTTATTTAGCAGAATACAAGTAAGCACACCATTTGGGACTGTACCTTAGGCACAAAAATTACATGTGAAAACGAGGATACTATACAGATATATAAATATTTATATGACAGTTGCTTTAGTTTTAGGGCACTTTTCACATGCTTATTTAGAGAGTACAGTAATCACATTATTGGCAGAGCGTCATAGGAACACTGAGATTTATGTATTAGCTCCTCCTTGACATAGTGGAAAAATGCCAATCTAACAAAAAAGAACAATTTCAACTACATTAAGGGACTGACCAGAGCTAATTGCTAGATTTTTTTCTACCCATCATCAAAATGTTGTCAGTGCATCAGTGCATAAAAGATTAAAGAGAAATTACTTGATCAGCTGCCATGACAACATTTGTTTTATTAAATGAACTACCCCATCTTAAAAGAGTGGCATTCACCTTGCTCAGCACAGCATCCTCAAAGTTGACTTAGTGACCAGTACTTTGCAACATTTATAAATTGGGAATCATACTTTTTCCTATATAGTCACATTTCTCAACTCTGCTCTCAGGACCTGATCCTGCAAGGTGCTTAGCACCCACAGCTCTCAGTGACTTAATAGGGAGTTCAGGAAACTCTGCATTTCTGAGGCACTTGGTCCCCTGCAGCTTCATTCTCTTGATCACGTCTATCTTGTGGGAAAATTGACGTAATTTCTGACACCATTCGTTCAGGAGCCCTGTTGTCAAATCGCGAGTTTATTTCCAGGCTTCAACAGTCAACAGGAGAGTTCTATTCTGGATTGCTGAAACAGCATTGTTCTAACTATTAAAATGGTAAAAATTCCTCTTCTTTCATTGATTTCAGTGGAAGTTAGGAGCCTAAATACCTTTGTGGGCCCAGATGCCAAGAGGGATACAATATAGGCCAACTGCTTTCAGCACTTTAGCACAGTTCTTACAATAACCACATGCGCCACAACTCTGCTTATAAAAAGACACCAACGATTGAGTGAAAAAAAAGCATTTTGTATGCATGTTTCATAATGCATTTAGATGTCAGTGGACCTTGTTTTACAGTCAGCTGTGTTAACAGTAGGGTAGCTCTACTCTTTTTGCTCTCAGGAATTGCACCCAGCTGGGCATATGGTTGTGAACTAATTGCATTTTATAGTGATACATCAAGGTACAATATAAGCCAAGGGCCTTCAGCGCCTTACAAGTGATCTTATAATAAGCACATCCAACATGTCATTTTGCTTATAAACTGGTGGTAGAATAAGGCTAAATGGAATTCTGAGTTGTGCAACTGTGGTCCCATAAACACGGGGTTTAACGTAGTGGTTAGTTGATGAGATTACTTCCTGGATCTTACCCGATTCATAAAGCAATATAGTATGACTGAGTTATGCTAAATAGGAGCTTTGCCTAATAAGGGACAGAGGATTGGAATCTGGTACTCAGGGCTGCTCTACTGCTGGCATCACAATTCATTTTTTTTTTCAGCAAGATGGCTGCTACCAGCAGGAGGCTAGGCTCAAGGGTATCAGTTTTACAGATAGTCTTTACTTTTTAAACACTGTTTGCAGGTAAGCAGAATAACTTCGCGCCCTGTGCAAGTCAGGCGCTTGTGCTAAGCAGAATTAATGCAGCTTGCTTCTGAATAGGGTGACCATATTTCCCCAAACAGAAAACGGGACACCCCACGTGCCGGCCTGAGCCCGCCCCGCTGCCCACCCACTCGCAGGGCCAGCCTGAGGTCCCCCCTCCCTGGGGCCACCTGAGGCCCTCTCCCGCCCACCCGGGACTGGCCTGAGGTCCCCTCCCACCAAGGGCCGGCTCAAGTCCCCCCCAAGCCGCTCTCCTTAGCCCTCCCTTCAGCGCAGGACTGGTGTTGCCACTCCCCCCCACATGTACTTCCACACCCCGCTAAGGGTCGCACCCCACTTTTTTTTTTTGCAAAACTGTGCATTTGTTGAGTTTGTTGTTGCCAACTGATCATCAGTTGGCAAGAGCCAATGGGATAAATGCACAGTTTTGCCAAAAAAGTCGGGATGGCTGGGAGAGGGTATAAAAAAGGGACTGTCCCGGCCAGAACGGGACATATGGTCGCCCTGCTTTTGAACTATAATTTATTGCATCAAAGAGAGACATCTAGCCAGCGCTTAATGAGCTCCCAGCATATGGGAAATCATTAAGGGTTTGGTCCTATGAGGTGGTGAGTACTCGGAGACCCCATTGAGGAAAAATGACAGGCCAGATTCTCAGCTAGTGTAAATCAACATAGCTTCGCTCTGCTAAGAGTGGAAGGATTGCCTAGTGGCACTGGGGTAGGACTTGGCAAACCTGGGTTCAGTTCCCAGCTCAGCTACCTACTTCCTATTATTTTACAGATAGGAAACTGAGGTACAGGGTGGATTAAGTGACATATCCTAGGTGATCTTGGATATGTCACTTAATCCACCCCAGGCCTCAGTTTCCTATCTGTAAAATGGGAGCAATATTTCCTTACCCTACAAGGGTGTTGTGAGGCTATAAGCCATTAGTGACCACAAGGTGTTCAGATACTCCTGTGATGAAGGCCACATATGTACCTAGATAGATGGGGTTCAAAGGAGCTATGCTGATTTACACAGGATCAGTCCCAGTGTCTTAGGAAATGGGCAGGATTTGCCAACAGAGGAGTGGAAGTGTTTGCTGGAGGCTACAATTGCCTAGCCTACTTAGTCTGCTTTTTTCCACTTATACGAAAAGAGGAATTACACACTTGAGGGCATGTGATTCCTTCTAAGGGTGCTGAAGGCACCTGGCCTCTGTCTTTATGTCTCACTATGCACCCGAGGCATGTAATTATTTCACAGCCGCACGCTCTGTTGGATGTGATTCCTTGTATGTGGGGGTGCGGGGGGGGGGAGGGGGAAGGAGTCGGTTTATTTATAGAGCAGCCATGTGTGATCCATACTGTTAACATAGCTGAGTGTAAAACAGGTTCCACTACAGTGTGGATACATTATGAAATATGCATATAAATGTACTGGAAGCAGAAAGGACTGCAGAGTTTAGAAGGCGTGCAAAGCTACAGAAAACAGGAGACCATTACATGCTGTTAGCAAGCAGAGAGTATAATTGATTTTTTGTACGCCACCCACTTGCATTTTTTATGCATATTACAGTTCTCCTTGAAGGCATCAGTGAAACCTATAAAATATCCCATTATGTCACAGAGGGCATTCCAATAGGCAGCTTACCACACATACGAGATGTGTTGGAATTTAGTTACATTTCAGTCTGCATTTTGTTTGTACCAGCAATGCAGTAAGTATGTGCTCATAGCCTTCAGAAACCCACTGCATGTGACACGACCTGGACTGCTTCACTTCACAAAACCAAATAGTGGAGCGGTCGTTTTGTTGTTGTATATGATAAATGAAATGCCAAGTTTTCCATCTTTGCTCTTTCTCATGGCCCTTTAACCCATGTGGTAGGCTTATTTAGGGAACGAGACAAGCCTGGATGCAATCCCAGAGTCTGCAGTAGCTTCAGATGCCCCTCCAAAGGTTAGGATACTTCACAAGGGATTTGTTCTGCAACGGAGAGACCAAAAGGAAACCCAAACTAGTTATTGCTTGTCCTTGAGTTAGCCAGACAAGAGAAAGTTTATAGGAACAGCATTATTACTACACCACCATATTTTGTATTGTGTAGACTCGCACCGCCAGAACTCTTGGAACTTCTTATAAGAGAACTTCAATCTGTGTATTAGCAGCATGAAATATTGTTATTCTGATTTCTACACCTAGATTCAATTAGACAGTTAATTATGCCTTTCACAGGAAAAAATGCAACGGAATTAAAACAGAATTGCCCCTGTATCATACAACACAGAGAGTTTCTATATTTTTCCATAAAACAAATATTAAAGAGTTAAAAATGCATATGTTTGTGTGAGAAATTCTGCATTCAATTCTGCCCTTATGCCCCTGCTGTTTTATTGGCAGGAGTCTCACAGGATTGTATATTAAGGCAGGATTTGATCCTGTTTGTATGGCTGACGCATATTCTTATCCATTAATAGTGCAGAATTAAAGTGACTGTCGTGCTTATGACACAGTAAAGGTCTGATATTGTGTTTTCTACTTTAGGATATGACGATGTTTCAGAAACAAACTTGAGATCTCATAGTGTTCATTCTGCTAAACATGTCCAAGAAAATCACCCTGTACCCATTCGCAGAAAAAGAAGCATCGGTAAGAAACAACAAGCTATTTGTGCTTAAAGAACAAAATCGTGGGGGGCTCCTTTGATTAGTCATGCAAGACACTTCATTGTGCAAAATAAAAAGTAGAAAGTAAAATGGTCTTTTCCTTTGAGTATGTCACTTTTCCAAAGTCAGTTGTTGCATCAGTCACCTTCTGCTGGGTAATCTATCCACAAGAGACAAGCATGAATAAATTCTTTACATTCACTTTCTTGTTGCAGCATGTTAAAAGGGAGACCTCAGTTAGAAAATGTGGCGATATTCAATGTATAATTCGTAGTGTGGGGAACAACTACTGCAATGTGCTTTTTTTAAAAAAAACATCAACAGTTGGTAGAGTTTTCAGGACAGAAGCTCTAGAAAAGGAAACAGCTTGACTCTTTAATTCCAAACCAGTTTATCCAAAAATTGAGAGCAAGACTGAAGTGCTATGACATTAATTCCCATATTACACCAGGGACCAGGCATGTTTACAAGGCATTTTTTTAATAAGTATTAAATGATGGTTTCAAACAAAAGCCTGGATATAAAATGAAATAGATGTTAATTGACTTCAAAATGGCATTTTTATGCAACTACACTTGTTACAAGCGATTAGAACTTACTCATTTACTATTTAACTTCTCTTCGGAAAACATGCATATTCTTATATGCTGTGGGTAATTCCTAATCAGTATATTTTAACTTTAGGCTAAGAGCCCATGAAACATGTAGCAGAGCACACTGTCAGCATGGATTTGCTGTGTGAATTGGCAACTGCACACTTATCACACTGAACCCCTCTAGAGGACAATGCTTCTGAAACCACCTGCTACATTTGGCGCCTTATTCTGTAATGTGCTGAATGCTTCCCATTTAAAGTCAACGGGAATGGCGGTCTTAGCATTTTGCAGGAGCTGCCCGGTATCCAGGGCCGGCTCCAGGCACCAGCATTCCAAGCAGGTGCTTGGGGCGGCAATCTGCAAGGGGCGGCAGTCCGTGTGCTTTTGCCGCCCCAAGTAGCGCGCCGAACTGCCGCCGCGGACAGGGGAGGGGGCAGTCCATGTGCCGTTAGGGCGGCACATGCGTTTCCGCGGCGGCGGCAATTCGGCGGCAGCTTCTATGTTCAGCTGCCCGCGGCGGCAATTCGGCGGCGGCTTCTGTCTTCCGGCTGAAGACAGAAGCTGCCGCCAAATTGCTGGCGCCGCGGAAATGCACGTGCCACCCTAATGGCACACGGACTGCCCCCGCCGTCTGTGGTGGCAATTCGGCGCACTGCTTGGGGCGGCAAAAACAGTAGAGCCGGCCCTGCCGGTATCTTGCACTATCAGGCCCTTAATTGGCCTAGTTAACAGCATTGTAGGGAGTGAGAAGCATCCTTCCTCTGCTGTGATATTTACCCACCCTATAGATTTCAGAGTGGTAGCCCTGTTAGTCTGTATCAGCAAAAAGAACGAGGTGCCACAAGTACTACTCGTTCTTTCCACCCTATAGAGTTGTTTTTAAGCTTCCTCTGGGGGCTTGCCCATCAAAACGGACCTTTTCCCAAACCAAATCAAAGCAAATGTGATCCTAGGCTTTCAAGTTACGGGTTCAAACCAGATCACATTTTCTTCTCTTTATACTTCGATTGAGGGTATTGAAGAGCATCCCAACTTTATCAAACCCCACCAGCTTAGTCTCTTTAACTGGACAGCAAAAAACAAGCTGCCTTCAAATAAATTCTCACCATTCAGGGGCTGCCATAACAGAGATAAAGCATTCTTTGCCAGCCCATCTGGTCCTGGAGTCCAGAATGTCACTTCCTGAGTTGCCCTAGCTCTTATCATCCTAGGCTGTAAGAGATCTCAGGTTTGTGGATCTTGGATTGTTCATATGTCAGCGTAATGCACTGTGACTAAGCTGTCACCTAGCAATATCTCACAACATTGCTTTATTGCACAGCAAACATTATACAGCTAACCCTCAAAAGCCTGAAACCTTTGCTTGTAAACTGGTCTTTCAGCACCAGGAAGTTGCTGTAGATTGAGACCTGGTAAAATAATTTGCTGAACATAGTATTATAGTCACTTTGGTTATGCTATTCTCATGGTTTCGCCTTGTTAAAAAAATCAAGCCATGCATAATTTCCCCAGCTTCATTCAGAAATAAGGAGTGCTGCCATTTGTATGACAGCTTGGTGTTAAGACCACTTCAGAACTGAAAGTTGGAGAAGGTTTTGTCATGAACAAAGGGATGGTGCATGGTGTAGAAATTACAGAAGCAGATTGTGTGCAGTTTATTACATGTGCTTTGTATGTGTGAAATATACATAGATGCACATTGTGGCCCTTATCCTGGAAAATAGCAAAGCTTCCACTGAATTCTGTGGTTCAGGACCAGTCCCTATCCAGCTACTTATCAGGAACTAGTACAACAGTGAGAGTTTCAGACGGTGTCTTTGCCTGCTGTCACCTTTCAGACAGTCTGTGCCTCCCATTTATTTGTCCACGCTCTGAGCTGAATTGGAACTTGAGCGGTGGAAAGCCCTCATCTCGTGATCTGGGTGTTTGGAGCAACTCAGGCTTCACTCTGGGGTAGCATGCACAATTGAACAGGAGGCAAGCAGTAACAGCTTATCCAAGCCCAGCACAAAGGCTTATCGTTAATGTCAGCAATAGGAGCATAGAGCACCTGTCGCAAAAGCCTGGGTGGGAATCACTCTCTTAAGCACGTAGTAGTGTAAGCATGTGTGCTCTAAAGCGAGAACAGCTGTTCACCTGGAAGTTTGGGTTCTTCTGTTTGCAGAGGAAGCCATTCCTGCCGTCTGCAAAACAAGAACTGTTATATATGAGATACCTCGGAGTCAGATCGATCCCACGTCTGCTAATTTCCTGATATGGCCACCGTGCGTGGAGGTGAAACGTTGTACTGGCTGTTGCAACACCAGCAGCGTGAAATGCCAGCCATCACGGATACATCACAGAAGTGTCAAGGTGAGCAAATTATGATTGTAGGGACATTAATGTAAGAGTTTGGGAGCTTCAGAATTCTTGTGTGCGTCCCACTTAGCATCTACCTTTACCACCCTCGTCCTAGCAAAGTCAGTCAGATATCTTGCTCCCTTGTAAGTGAGCAGATGCCTTTCATAAATATGATTAGTGGAAAATGTTATTTTTGGATTTGATTTTCATAGATTCCTTTCATTTTCCTTTATATCTAAAAAAATAAAAAATGGTTTTGATTGTGTCTTTCCCACGATCTCTTCCAGAACAGCTCTTGAATTTAAAAGATAGAATGACTCCAGGGGCGTTGGACTGCAAAATCCACTGCACAGAATTACGTTTCTTTAATTAAATATTGTGCAGCCTAAATTGGTCTTTTATATGTGACAATATAACACTTTTGATCTGAAAAAATGTCTTCCAAATTATTGTATCCCTGGGGATAAGAGACTCAAGGCTTCATGCTATATTTATTCATTAAGCAAAATCCATTTCTCCCTGCCAGAGGCTTCCGGTAAATATTACATGAAGTTAATGGTATTTCTTGTATTTTGTTCTCGTTTATATCAGTGCAATTCAGTAGTTACTCTGCTGAAGTCAACGGAGTTGCACCAGCATGAGTGAGATCAGAATCACACTTCATTAACCTCTGGGCCCCATGCTTGACTGCAAATTCTAAGGTCAAAATTCTGTTTTTTTTAAAAACTCAAATATGGATTTGCCTGATAGGATATAATGAGTGCAGCAGCTACTGTGGTTTATTGAGTAATTATAAAAGGTGCTGCTAACACATTTATTTGGTCATCGCACATTCCAAGTACAAAGTGTGACATCCCAACCAATTATGAATTATCTGAACCCACAAAAAAGTGTCTGAGCAGCAGTTTTTTAAATGGGTGAAGAACAGTTTCACACTCTGATAAGCTGGAAAACATCTGAACAGATTTTTTCAGTCTTTCCAAAAATAATTATACTTTACACTTACATGGCATCATTCCTTTGTGGATCTTGATATTGAAGAAAAGGAAAAAAAAATCAGGGACAACACAATTAACTGCTGGGCTGAGAACAAAGTGGAGAAGTCTAAGCCCCAAAGTTTAAGCCATTTAAAATAGAGACTTAGAATGAAAGTGCCTCCCTACCTGTAACCATGATGTCACTGGTGAGTGCAATGCTATCATCTTTGGGCCCAGTCCTGCTTCCATTGAGTTCTCTGGGCCAGATTCGATCGTTAATAGGCTGACATGGTGCAAAGAGGTGAAAATCAGGCCGCATATCCTGAGCAGAGAATTTCCCTGGCTGATGAGAATTCCCTGCTGGTGCATCTGTACCACAACCTAGTCTCCACCACTCCATCTCCCACTGAACTGTAGGGGGCAGGGAGTGAGTGAGCTGGGTAGTCTGCCACAGCAGTCCCCCACTGGCATAGGATGTATTAGGGAACGTAAGCCAGTGATAGAGTTTAAAACTTAGGCAGCAGCTTTAAGTTATGTCAGTGCTGGGATTGTCATCTCCCCACCATTACTGCGCCAAGGAATCTGCCTCACTGTCTCACACGGTTCAGTGATGCAGCATTGGTGCCTTCAGGATTACATTCATTTTATTACTGGGGTAAGTTAAAAGTAACCCTATCAGGCAAGATGATTTTTATGGCAGCATTAATAAGTTGACACCAATGGTATCAATATACATGTCGGCCAGTTCTTCAGAAAATTCCAAGGCAAGTCCCCTGCTCCAAACAGTAATTAAGTAGCAAGAAGGACAGGAGGTCAAACAGAAACAGGATGCTCATTGTCGAGGTTGCCCACTGACCCCACAGTCACATTAGAAATCTCTGAACAGAATCTGTATTTGTTTCCTCCAGAGTCGGCTTCTCTTGTAGGCTTTGATATAATTAATTGTCGGATGAGCCTTTTGGAAATCCTGTATTTAGAGCTCAGTGGGTGTACATGCCATTATCTAGCAAAGCCCAACATGAGGGTCCCAGGAAAGGTAGGAGTTCTTTTGGGGGGCTTGTCTGGGTTATTCCTGGAATGCAGTTGAGAGCTCTCTTGTTTTTTCCATGATGTCAGGCTGGATAAAAGCGCTCTTTTGATTAGGACTGAAAGGGCTTCCCTCCTTCCCCTTTCATTGACAAGGTGGTGAGATCATAGCATGCCTAGTCACACTGCAAAAATGTCCACCCAGAAAGGTCAGTGAGTGGGTTTGCAGACGTATTATCTCACAGGCCAAAGCAAAGGAGGTTTCTTTATGCCCTTGTGGATAAAGTTATCATTTATCAGTAAGTCAGAGCTGGAATGCAAGGACTTCATGCAGGTGCAGTGAAGGTGTGTGCAGGCGTTAGGGACCTTCCTCTCCTTGGACTTGATCCTAAGGCCATTGAGGTCAATGGAAAGCCTCCCATAGACTTCAGTAAGCGTTGGATGAGACCCCTTGTGTACCAGGCAGGGGGCTGCTGCAGTCTAGCTGGGGAGCAAAGCAGTGCTCTGGGCCAGCACTGCTGGTGGCACTGGCCTCCCATAAAGGGGCAGGGGGATAGGGGTGCTTTGACCTTTCTCCACTTCCGCATGAGCCAGTGGACCTGGCTGGCATTAATACAGTCGGGCACAGGCTGCACCCTTGCAGAGGGTGATAGAGCTCACACTCCAAGATATGCTCCCTTTGGGGCTCCCTCTGCCTTCAAGCCCCTCTGAAATCTCCCTACCTCCAAATGCAGCCAATAGTTTTAAGAGTCACAGAGTCACAGCATGATCCTTTATTCTTAGCTTGAAAAAAAGCCACCTGATACTATGGAATCTCTTTCCTCGCTGAGCGATCAACAAAAAGCAGGGTCTGAGAAGTGGCAACACAGAGAGCACCTATGTCGGATGGGTCTCCCTTTCCCCACGGGAATATGTTTTAAACAATCTATTCATACCTAGCATGAAAGAACATCCGTTTGATTGAAATGAAATGCCTGTTTTAAAGTCATTCTCCCTTGTTGACCCGCAGGTGCTTATAAGCACAAGTTCTATTGCTTGTATTTTTATGCTAACATACTCGAGGATTCAGGAATTGTAGCAGACTTGAAGTGTTTGCCGCTTCTTTTACTGAACTGCTGAGTATCTTTTCTGACCGGGTTTCAGAGTGGTAGCCATGTTAGCCTGTACCAGCAAAAAGAATGAGGAGTCCTTGTGGCACCTTAAAGACTAACAAATTTATTTGGGCATAAGCTTTCGCAAACTGGACACCATTAAATTAGGCTTGAATAAAGACTGGGAATGGATGGGTCATTACACAAAGTAAAAACTATTTCCCCATGCTAATTTTACCCCTACTGTTACTCACACCTTCTTGTCAGCTGTTGGAAATGGGCCATCCTGATTATCACTACAAAAGTTTTTTTTCTCCTGCTGATAATAGCCCACCTTAATTGATTAGCCTCGTTATAGTTGGTATGGCAACACCCATTTTTTCATGTTCTCTGTGTGAATATATTTCTTCCTACTGTATTTTCCACTACATGCATCCGATGAAGTGGGCTGTAGCCCACGAAAGCTTATGCCCAAATAAATGTGTTAGTCTCTAAGGTGCCACAAGTACTCGTTCTTTTTTCTGACCAGGCTACTGCAAACTCTGAACCATGGTGCAAAAGCAAATTGCTCAGTCCTGCAGAATTTTGACTTTGGGAATTCCTCTGTGATTAGCACATGGCAAGGAATCCAATCGCTCGCTAGTGCCAGCTGGTGGAGTGTGATTTTTTTTTTAATGTCAGTTGTGGAAGTATTTTCTCTAACTGTGCACGTTGCCGCAACAAAACTCATTTCATAATGCTTAGAAGTTCCATTGGTTTTATGCCAAAAGAACAGGAGTATTTGTGGCACCTTAGAGCCTAACAAATTTATTTGAGCATAAGCTTTCATGGGCTACAGCCCTCTTCATCAGAGGCATAGTCTGGGTACTCTTTTGGCTCTGTCAATCTGTTTTTTCACTTCAGCAGGTGGGTATTGTAGTTTTAAGAATGCTTGATAGAGATCTTGTAGGTGTTTGTCTCTGTCTGAGGGATTGGAGCAAATGCGGTTATATCTTAGAGCTTGGCTGTAGACAATGGATCGTGTGGTGCGTCCTGGATGGAAGCTGGAGGCATGTAGGTAAGTATAGCGGTCAGTAGGTTTCCGGTATAGGGTGGTGTTTATGTGACCATCGCTTATTAGCACAGTAGTGTCTAGGAAATGGACTGCTTGTGTGGATTGGTCTAGGCTGAAGTTGATGGTGGGATGGAAATTGTTAAAATCATGGTGGATTTCCTCGAGGGCTTCTTTTCCATGGGTCCAGATGATGAAGATGTCATCAATGTAGCGCAAGTAGAGTAGGGCCGTTAGGGGACAAGAGCTAAGGATGCGTTGTTCTAAGTCAGCCATAAAAATGTTGGCATACTGTGGGGCCCTTTTATATTCGTTCCAGAAATATGTCAGGTAGATGAAGTATTTAACCAACCCAAGGACCTGGAATATCCCTTTGTTTGGCATTTCCTGAAGTTTACTTAACTGGGTCAACCCAATAGCAGTCATGAAAAAAAACCACATCTTTTCATTCAGCAGATCTGCCGGTGTGTTCCTAGCCAAGACAGCAGATGTGGACATTATGGAGCAAATCCTGTTCCCAGTGCCAAGCCTGAGTAGCTGAGCTGGGTGCTAGGGATCTCTGCAGGAACAGCAGGCAGCAATCTTCCTTTCCAGTCTGTGGAGCAATAGCAGAAGGGCTCCATCCACTATCCTTATCCTCTACTTCAGCTGTAATAGCTGTGATGGATTTGGAGCTGCTGTGCATTAATTTATGAATATTGCACATTGAGCTGGTTAATGGGATGTTTACTGTATGGATATGCTGGTGTAATTCAATAGGGGGTTGTTGGGAAAGACAAGCAGGAAGGGAAAATGTAGCCCAACATAAGTCACTTCTCAGCAAACCAACACTTGAGAGTCATTCAGAGACAGTGCCAGGGCAGGAAA